CTTTGCCTGATGCCTCGGTACTCCGCGGCTGCGCTTGCCCCCTTTGCACCAAAGAGGAAAGGAGGACACTGCGCGGCTGGCACCCGCCTGGCGCCCTCGGTCGTCATGGCTTGCGTCACGGGCACCTCGTGAGGTACCCCGCCTTAATCTCTTCGCCTCCTCGTGAGCCAGCCTGACGAGGCCGTGCCTAAGGAAACTTCGCGTCGTCCGCCCCGTAAGGCTTGGCCCCTCGCGAGGGTCTTGGGTTTGTGTTGGTGAAGATGGGCCGCGCTGGGCCCCCTTTTGAGCCACGCTGCAGGCCGCACGCAGTCAAGTCCGGGGACCCCCGTTCCCAGAACACCGACAGCTTGCAGTAGAAGCACTCAGTTTCAGGCTTAGTTCCAGATTTGGGTTTCTTCTCCTGAGCAGTAACTTGCTTACTGTTCTTCTTGAAGTTCCCCTTCTTCTTCCCTTTGCCCTTTTTCTTGAAACTGGCGGTCTTGTTGACCATCAACACTTGATGCTCCTTCTTGATTTCTACCTCCGCAGCCTTTAGCATTGTGAAGAGCTCGGGAATTGTCTTATCCATCCCTTGCATATTATAGTTCATCACGAAGCTCTTGTAGCTTGGTGGCAGTGATTGAAGAACTCTGTCAATGACACTATCAACAGGAAGATTAACTCCTAGTTGAGTCAAGTGATTATGATACCCAGACATTTTGAGTATATGTTCACTGACAGAACTATTCTCTTCCATCTTGCAGCTATAGAATTTATTGGAGACTTCATATCTCTCAATCCGGGCATTTGCTTGAAATATTAACTTCAACTTCTGGAACATCTCATATGCTCCATGACGTTCAAAACGTCGTTGAAGTCCCGATTCTAAGCCGTAAAGCATGGCACGGTGAACTATCGAGTAGTCATCAGCTTTGCTCTGCCAGACGTTCATAACATCTGGTATTGCTCCAACAGCAGGCCTGTCACCTAGCTGTGCTTCCAGGACGTAATTTTTTTGTGCAGCAATGAGGATAATCCTCAAGTTACGGACCCAGTCCGTGTAATTGCTACCATCATCTTTCAACTTTGCTTTCTCAAGGAATGCATTAAAATTCAACGAAACAACAACACGGGCCATCTATCTACAATCAAACATAGACAAGCAAGATACTATCAGGTACTAAGTTCATGATAAATTTAAGTTCAATTAATCATATTACTTAAGAACTCCCACTTAGAAAGACATCCCTCTAATCTTCTAAGTGATCACGTGATCCAAATCAACTAAACCATAACCGATCATCACGTGAAATGGAGTAGCTTTCAATGGTGAACATCAATATGTTGATCATATCTACTATATGATTCACGCTCGACCTTTCGGTCTCAGTGTTCCGAGGCCATATCTGCATATGCTAGGCTCGTCAAGTTTAACCTAAGTATTTTGCGTGTGCAAAACTGGCTTGCACCCGTTGTAGATGGACGTAGAGCTTATCACACCCGATCATCACGTGGTGTCTGGGCACGACGAACTTTGGCAACGGTGCATACTCAGGGAGAACACACTTATCTTGAAATTTAGTGAGAGATCATCTTATAATGCTATCGTAAATCAAAGCAAGATAAGATGCATAAAAGATAAACATCACATGCAATCAATATAAGTGATATGATATGGCCATCATCATCTTGTGCTTGTGATCTCCATCTCCGAAGCACCGTCATGATCACCATCGTCACCGAAGAGACACCTTGATCACCATCGTAGCATCATTGTCGTCTCACCAATCTTATGCTTCCACGACTATCGCTACCGCTTAGTGATAAAGTAAAGCATTACAGCGCAATTGCATTGCATACAATAAAGCGACAACCATATGGCTTCTGACAGTTGCCGATAACTCGGCTACAAAACATGATCATCTCATACAATAAAATTTAGCATCATGTCTTGACCATATCACATCACAACATGCCCTGCAAAAACAAGTTAGACGTCCTCTACTTTGTTGTTGCAAGTTTGACATGGCTGCTATGGGTTTAGCAAGAACCGTTCTTACCTACGCATCAAAACCACAACGATATTTTGTCAAGTTGGTGCTATTTTAACCTTCGCAAGGACCGGGCGTAGCCACACTTGGTTCAACTAAAGTTGGAGAAACTGACACCCGCCAACCACCTGTGTGCAAAGCACGTCGGTAGAATCAGTCTCGCGTAAGCGTACGCGTAATGTCGGTCCGGGCCGCTTCATCCAACAATACTGCCGAACCAAAGTATGACATGCTGGTAAGCAGTATGACTTATATCGCCCACAACTCACTTGTGTTCTACTCGTGCACAACATTAACACATAAAACCTATGCTCGGATGCCACTGTTGGGGAACGTAGTAATTTCAAAAAATTTCCTACGCACACGCAAGATCATGGTGATGCATAGCAACGAGAGGGGAGAGTGTTGTCCACGTACCCTCGTAGACCGAAAGCGAAAGCGTTAGCACAACACGGTTGATGTAGTCGTACGTCTTCACGATCCAACTGATCCAAGTATCGAACGCACAGCACCTCCGAGTTCAGCACACATTCAGCTCGATAACGTCCCGCGAATTCCGATCCAGCAGAGCTTCACGGGAGAGTTCCGTCAGCACGACGATGTGGTGATGGTGATGATGTTGCTACCGACGCAGGGCTTCGCCTAAGCACCACTACGATATGACCGAGGTGGAATATGGTGAAGGGGGGCACCGCACACGGCTGGGAGAGATCAACTGATCAACTTGTGTGTCTAGAGGTGCCCCCCTGCCCCTGTACATAAAGGAGCAAGGGGGGAGGCCGACCGGCCCCTCTATGGGCGCGCCAGGAGGAGGAGTCCTCCTCCTAGTAGGAGTAGGACTCCCCTTTCCTACTCCTACTAGGAGGAGGAAAGGAACGAGGAGAAGGAGAAGGAAGGAGAAGGAGGAAGAAGAGGAAAGGGGGCCGACCCCCTAGTCCAATTCGGTTTGGGCTAGGGGGGCCACGCGCCCTGCCTCCTCTTTTCCACCACTTGGCCCATGAAGCCCATTACTTCTTCCTCGTATTCCCGTAACTCCCTGGTACCCCCGAAAATACCCGAATCACTCGGAACCTTTCCGATGTCCGAATATAGTCGTCCAATATATCGATCTTTACGGCTCGACCATTTCGAGACTCCTCGTCATGTCCCCGATCTCATCCGGGACCCCGAACTATCTTCGGTATATTAAATCACATAAACTCATAATACAATCGTCACCAAAACTTTAAGCGTGCGGACCCTACGGGTTCGAGAACTATGTAGACATGACCGAGAAATGTCTTCGATCAATAACCAATAGCGGAACCTGGATGCTCATATTGGCTCCCACATATTCTACGAAGATCTTTATCGGTCAGACCGCATAACAACATACGTTGTTCCCTTTGTCATCGGTATGTTACTTGCCCGAGATTCGATCGTCAGTATCTCAATACCTAGTTCAATCTCGTTACCGGCAAGTCTCTTTACTCGTTCCGTAATACATCATCCCGCAACTAACTTATCAGTTGCAATGCTTGCAAGGCTTAAGTGATGTGCATTACCGAGAGGGCCCAGAGATACCTCTCCGACAATCGGAGTGACAAATCCTAATCTCGAAATACGCCAACCCAACAAGTACCTTTGGAGACACCTGTAGAGCACCTTTATAATCATCCAATTACGTTGTGACGTTTGGTAGCACACAAAGTGTTCCTCCGATAAACGGGAGTTGCATAATCTCATAGTCATAGGAACATGTATAAGTTATGAAGAAAGCAATAGCAACAAACTAAACGATCAAGTGCTAAGCTGATGGAATGGGTCAAGTCAATTACATCATTCAACTAATGATGTGATCCCGTTAATCAAATGACAACTCATGTCTATGGCTAGGAAACATAACCATCTTTGATCAACGAGCTAGTCAAGTAGAGGCATACTAGTGACACTCTGTTTGTCTATGTATTCACACATGTATCATGTTTCCGGTTAATACAATTCTAGCATGAATAATAAACATTTATCATGATATAAGGAAATAAATAATAACTTTATTATTGCCTCTAGGGCATATTTCCTTCAAGGGCAGCTCCACCGCGATCATAGTAGGCATCCTGGAGCAGACCCAACACCAATGGCGAAAGGGCATACGGACGCTGTGTTGGCTTGCTTGCTGGGAGATATGGCAGGAGAGAAACAACTGCACCTTCAGGCAGCACCTGCCGTGCGCGGCAAGAATCATCAAGCGCATAAGAGACAACATCGAGCTATGGAGAACCACAGGAGCTGCATGCTTAGGGAGCCCCTTCGGGGACCCCCCTTGAGAGATAAACCCCCCTTGCTCCTAGGGTTTTGGCCGTCTGTGGCATTCCCTGAAACTTTGATCCTAGGATCCTCACCACGATTGTTGTTTTTCCACTGCTTTCTGCTATGATCAACGAAAACGCCAGCAATTGCTGGATCTTTCAAAAAAACATTTCACTATAATAACTTGGATTCATGGATTATAAAAAAGAGCTCCTCCGACTGAGGTACCTTTCAGACGACAAGCGGTGCAAAGAAAAAGAGAGATATGAGAGCACAAGATAATTAAATCCCTCGAAAAGAGAGCGAGTGGAAATACAAATAGCTGTAATTGTGAGCAACGCTTCATCTCCCATCGAATAGAACTGTCACCAAGGACTCACCAGATCGGCTGCAAATGCCCGTCACCGGTGGAGGGCACGGCGTGATGTATGAATCGAACCCTTCGCTCTGCATCAAGGCCATCTCGTTGTAGCTCATGTAGGTTGGAGTCAAATGAGGGACGGCTTGATCACCGTCTAGATATTGCATGACCTTTCGCATGCTAGGCCTTGTGTTGGGCAATGGGTGCGCGCACAACAAACCTAGTTTGAGTATGATACTGACCTCTTCCATGTTGAATTTCCCCTCGAGCCGAGAATCCACCGTATCGATGATTGAGCCATTGCGGTGGTGCTCAAGCACCTAGTCGACCAACACCATCGGGTTGTTATGCTCGTCACTCCCGATTGGCCTGCGTCCACAGACGACCTCTAGGAGAAACACACCAAATGCAAATACATCGGCTGAGGGTGTTGCCTTCCCCGTGCGCATAAGTTCTGGCGCTAGGTATCCCATGGTACCAACGACATGTGTTGTTTGAGCATTTGTACCATGGTCGTATAGCCTTGCCAGACCAAAGTCACCGAGCCGCCCGTTCATCTCCCTATCCAGTAGCACATTGCTTGCTTTTATATCTCGGTGGATGACGACTTGCTCCCAATCCTCGTGTAAATACAATAAACTTGATGCGATACCTTTGACAATCAAGTACCTTTGAGGCCAACATAGAGCTGGCCCATTCTTATTGTGCAAATACTTGTCAAGGCTGCCATTTGCCATGTAGTCATACACCAAAAGAAGTTCACCGTTGCGCCAGCAATAGCCTAGCAGCTGCGTGAGATTTCGATGCCGGAGACGACCAATGCTCACCACTTCGGCAATGAACTTCCGTATTCCTTGCCTTGAGTCATGTGACACTCTCTTGACGGCGATCTCCAAATTAGATACAGGAAGTACCCCGTTGTATACTTTCCCAAACCCTCCAACGCCGAGTACATTTCTGTTCTTGAACCCATCGGTGGCATGGAACAAGTCCTTGTATGCGAATCGGTGTGGGCCGAAATCTTCCTCCCAATCTTCGCGCACCTCTGCAAACCGATGCCGCCGGCGCCACACGATGAACGTGACGGCCAACACCGCGGCGATGAGCAACATGATGGCTAATGGTAGAGTGATGTACAAGATCTTGGACCGAGGTTTGGGACCCACATGCGGCAGGCTGGGCAGCTTAGAGAAGTCGAGCGGCGGAGCAGGTCCGTCGAAGCTGAAGCTCCATCCAAGGACGTAGTGGTGCGTGGACACCATGCCCGACGATGATGAGAAGCCAGCATACATCGTGTCCGCCATGATAGTGGAGAGGTCAATGGCTTCAGAGAGCAAGGGATACTTGGGCTTGGGAGCTTGTACGGGAGCTAATGTCACATTGAGCCGCCGGCCCTCGCCGTCGTAGTCCACCCACACCTGCATTGGCCTGCGGCTATTCAGCATCAGGTCTCGGAAGGCCATGTCGTCGTCGTCGGCGTAGTAGCCGGCGGGCTTGGCCTGCTGCGAGATGAGGCTGTTGACGTTGATGCCGACGTGGTTGCTGTTGATGTCGCTCAGCTCGGGGTTCCGGATGGTGATCTCGACGGCCAAGATGTGGCCGCTCGCGGTGCCGTTCGCGTTGAGGAGGCCTAGGTACTGTCCGCCGTTGGCCGATGAGAGGTCCGAGGTCGGCGCGACCACGAAGGCGAGGCCCTGATCGCTCAGGCCATCGACGACGGACACGATGGCGAACACGAAGGACGCGGAGAAGGAGCGCGCCACGGCCGTGGAGCTCGCCGTCGTGTTGAGGAAGCGGAGCGGGGCTGGGTGGAAGGCGTGGCCTTTTTCCTGGGAAGTGAAGTTGGTGAGGGCGAGGAGGCCGTTGGGCATGACGACGGCGAGACCGTCCATGGTAAGGTTCGCCGCCGCGAAGCCCTGGTAGGCGAACTGGCCGGCGTCGGCCGACGAGGCCAACAACAGTCCGTTCAGGCTCAACAACAAGATCAGAGGAAGAATTGGCATGGTTTCTCGCCTCTGGTTTTCTTTTGAGCAAACTGAGGTCTACGTACTCAATTGGTAAAGTTTTTAACCACGATCGGTACATTTTCTGACGGCGTGGAGAATTTTGTTGTGGGTGAGATCGCAGGATTGAGGCGCACCGCACACTAGGCTAGGATAAGTCAGAGAGAGAAGGACGTGTCTGGTAGTCGTAGAGGAGGACTGAGGCGCGCCGCACACACTGGGCTGGAAGTCAGTGAGAAGGACGTTGGAAGTCGGCGTCCTAGTTGCAGCGAGTACTACTACTACCAGCAGTCTGGTTTCCATCTAACAGAAGGTAATACAAGTGGAACACAAGTCTGCTACTTTTATGGATAGAATGGACCGGAGACAATTCTCACCCTACCACTGACAACTTTCACCTTCTAGTATTAAGTATGAGTAAATCTTGAGCTTTTTTACGGTGCATCATACTACTGCCAGAAGTGGGTAGTATTGGGTCTAATCCAACCATTAATTTAGGCGGTACTTAAACGTTTCAGGCCGGTTAAGTAGGGGTACTTTTGACCCTAATTTTTCACGGGCAAACGATGGGTAACTGGGTTCATGGCCTGATAAGCGCCCGTACTGGACATCAGCGTCGCCGCATTGGAGCAGTCAGACCAAAGGACGAGTTGAGCAATGCAGGGTGGCCGCAGCCCCTCCTCGCACGCCAACATCTCCGCCTCAAGGTGGGCCGTGCAGTGCTGCATGCCTGCAGCCATCGGGACGCAACGAAGAGGGCCTTCTTCATGGTGCCGGAGAATCATGTCCGTGCCGGTCGATCCGTCGGCGGAGTGGCTACCAGAGCTCATGGAGGCCACCGAGATACGTATTACAGTGCGGTGTGTCCAACAACTCGGCTTTTCATTCGCATCTACTTCTTGACTCGTTTACCACGAGGCTGTGCCTTGGCCTTGGCACCATGGATTACAAGTTGGGCACACCGGGATGGGCTCCGGCGAGCCGGTGCAGCCGAGGTCTGGAGGTGGACGTCGCCAGCACGGCAGCTCGAACGTGCTGAGAATACTGCCATCGCAGCAGCATGAAGGATAATGTCAACGTCCGAGGCGTTAGCACGTGGTGACGATTGTGTCTAGGAGTGAAGCATCTGCGTCGATGCAGAGACTAGAAAGTTGAAGTGGAGCTAGCATCTGCGTTGAATGCACATACACTGGATCTGTTTTTGCCCCTAACTGCCAAATCGGTATGTCACTGTTCCGATTATGACCCAGATATCTTGTTTTATACTGGAGGGTTTAGCTCGGGCCCGGTGACAAATTTACGGGACTGAAACTGACTATTTTCTTGGTTCAAAAGTCCAGGGATTATAATTTTTTATGGGACGAAAAGGCCATGGATTTCCATTAAAGAAACTGCCACAGTTTACAAACCAAGAGCAGCAGAAACTCAAAAGGATACCTAACGGATAGGAGGAAGAAAACTAGAGCCTGCAACAATCAGGCAAAGCTTTTTCTGAACCAACTGCACGCAGACAGCTCAAACCAGCGTGACACTTGCACAAGATCACCGCAAAATCCAAACCATCAACAAAAGCAAGTTTCCTAAACAAAACAACACCACTTTAGATCAGCATTGGTGTGTTTATATAATCCTGAAATTCAGTCATAAGAAAGATAAATCACAAGAGCAGACATTTCTAGTAAAATGAGTACAACATAGATACATCGGAACTTCCATAGTCAATTACACAATTCCACTTTTTTTTACTCAGTGCAAGAACCTCATCACCTTCCTCCCGAGAGATCAGAAATGGCACCTACGCTCGTCGAGAACTGTATGGCATCACGTTCTGGTTGAACTCCCCATTGTACATCCGCTCCAGCATGCTGAAGCTTAGGTACGACGGTGACAGGTCCGGGAGGAGCTTGTCACCGTCAAGGTACTGCATGACTTGCCGCATGGTTGGCCTCGCAGTGGGCAACGGGTGTGAGCAGAGCAGTGCTAGTTTCAGCACCAGTGAGACCTTGTCCGGATTAAACCCATCCAGAATTCTTGTATCTGCCACATCAACAATCAGACCATTGCGCCATTGCTCGATTACCCAATCCACGAGCACGATGCGGCTGTTTCGCTCGTTTTGCTGAATTGGCCTCCGTGCACAGATGATTTCCAGAAGGAATGCACCGAAAGCGAACACATCGGTAGACGGGGTTGCCTTACCAGTATGTCCTAACTCGGGGGCCAGGTAGCCCATGGTGCCAACCACATGTGTTGTATGGGCGTCCGCTCCATGATCGTACAACCTTGCAAGGCCGAAATCCCCTAACCGCCCATTCATCTCGCTGTCTAGGAGAACATTGCTCGCTTTCACATCTCGGTGGATGACAACTTGCTCCCAATCCTCATGGAGATACAGTAACCCAGAAGCCACACCTCTGATTATGTGAAACCTTTGACGCCAATCCAGTGTACCTGAAGATCCATCATACAAGTATTTATCAAGGCTTCCGTTTGGCATGTAATCGTAAACCAGGAGAAGCTCCGCCTTGCGCCGGCAGTAACCAAGCAGCGGCACGAGGTTGCGGTGCCGTAGTCGCCCGATGCTTGCAACCTCGGCGACGAACTCCTTCATCCCCTGCCTTGACTCATGGGAGACCCTCTTTACGGCGATCTCCTTGTCAGGCTTGCGGAGTCTACCCCTGTACACACTTCCGAAGCCTCCTACTCCGAGCAGGTTCTTATTGCTGAACCCCTTGGTCGCATGAAACAATTCTTTGTAAGAGAATCGTTGGGGGCCGAACGCGTCCTCCCAGTCCTCACGCAGTTCGGAATACTTGAGACGCCGTCGTACCAAGATGCACACTCCGATGCCTACAGCAAAAACCAGCGTCACCGACGCTATAGGCAGCACAATCTGCAGGATCCTCGAGCGTGGCTTGGGCCAGGCGCGTGGCAAGGCCGGCAGCGCCGAGATGTCCAGCGCCGGGGCTGGCACGTCCAGCGCGAAGCTCCAGCCGAGGACGAAGTGGCGTGTGGACATGACGCCCGTCGCCGACGAGAATCCAACATACGCCGTGCTCTGCACCACACCCGAGAGGTCGACGGTGGTCCGCAGGAGCGGCCTCTTGGGCCTGGCCACGCCCAGGGGAGCCATGGTCACCGTGATCTCCGTGGCCACGCCATCGTAGTCCACCCACACTTGCATTGCCTTCCGGCTGATCAGGCTTAGGTTCTGGAACCGACCTGTGCTATCATCGTAGTATCCGGCGTCGGCGGAATCGATGGATATCAGACTATTGATGTCGACACCGACATGGTTGCTGTTAATGTCACGGAAATCGGCGTTGAGGAGCGTGTCGAGCTCCACGGCGAAGATGCGGGCGCTCCGGTTGCCATTGGTGCCGTTGAGGAGGCCCAAGAACTGGCCTGGAAGCGCAGTGGAGAGCACCTCCCTGGACGCTGAGGCGAAGAAGGTCAGTCCATGGCTGCTCAGGTAGGCGTACGGGCCAAAGATGGCGAAGACGAAAGTGGTCGAGAAGGACCGCACGACGCCGGTGCCGTTCGCCTCGGTGTGGAACGGCAGCGGGGACGGGTGGAAGGCCTGGCCTTTCGTCTGAAGGGTGCCATCGGTCAGCATGAGGAGGCCGTTCGGCATGACGGTGGCCCCGCCATTGAGCGTCAGGTTCGCACCCACGAAGCCGTTGTAGGTGAACTGCCGACCGTCATCGCCGCTGCTGCTTCCACCACCGGTGGCGGGGTGGCAGCGATCGGCGGCCACCAGGAGCAGGAGCAGAGTGACCAAGTGGTGAAGCTGGACAAACATAGCTCTCCTACCACTTTGCAGGACGAGCCAGTGGGCTGTGGTGCAGGAAACAGTGAAACACACTCTCTTTGGTTATAGCTTCCCAAAATTTCTACTACTATCCGTATAATATAGGACAAGTAATACGGATCGGAGGAAGTACTTGCATACAGCGAATTCTCAGCTTTTGTGTAAGATTGACGAGGTAAAGAGAACTTTTTTTTCAGCGTTTTGCGGTGTGGAAAATTATGAGAGCCTTGTGGCTCGTGGCGCGCGTTTGACCAAACTACCTATTGGAAATGAAATGCATTAATGGGGTCTATAAGTGTGATGTCTACAAATCTACAATGATGGCCTCGCAACACATTTCGACTATACTAGTCATCAACCCGTTACCCGTGCATTTGCACGGGCTAGAAATTTCCCAAGGAAAATCCAAGATTGGACTACACATTCATGACAAATTGTGATCTCCAAACACAAAGTACTAAATCAAATCACCAAATAACCTTATGTAGTTTCATAATTTTCACTTGTATAGGCAAGACGCGAGTCTCTGTATTTGCCCTTATTTATTTAAAAAGATAAAATTATACTTCAGATACTTACTTGTTTCACATAAGGCATTAGTGATATTTTAAGTAAAGAAAACTGGAGTACAAACAACTGAATTCTGTAGAGATGTAAAACCGTAACAAATGTTTGCGTTTTTTTAACTCCAACATCTATTCATGAAATGATAGTTTTATTTGTACATGGACAACATATACCACCGTGTCAATGTTTAGTTGAACATGTAATTTTGTGTAGTAGATGCGGAATACATATTTGTAAGTCAGATGTGCAGTAAGGAAATGGTACTTAAGTGAAACTGTAACTACAGTCAGATGTGCAGTATTTTTGTGTTTGTTTAGTTAACATTCTTTCCTCGTCTTTATGACTGTTTTGGTTTTGAAGTCCAGCACTTCTTTCCTTCCTATATCTTTGCATACAGTAAAGCTAATTTTTTATAATCATGTAGGAAATATTTGTGGATGCTAATAATCCAGATAGATACATTTTGACCATAAAAAGGACAGTTTACCTTTGGCGGAAAGAGGTCTGCAAATAATGGAAATAGCGGTGATGCGAATAAGGACATAAAGAGCATGGCTTCATGACTGCAGAGAGGGTGGAGCATCTGAAAATAGTGAAAAGTGCATCACTAATAAAAATAAATTTAGGTGCCAGAATAGCAAAACATGTGCATATTTCTAGTTCATATGCATTATTCTCCTAGTAAAGGAAGATAAACATCCTCACACTCTGTACTTGATTATTATTTTCGCACCTTAGACAGCAAAGGTTATATTTCCTTAGCTAAGGCTTCATATGTTCCTCACTAATATTGAACTTGATGCTTACAAACTTTAGAGATCGATAGAGTTCAGGAAAATTTCCTCATTCACAAAAAAAGAAAGATATAAAGAAGTTACATATACAGTTCTGAATCAACAGCCATTACGTATTTGAAAAGTATGCAATGTAAAGGAAGTCTGTCACCAGACATCTGCACTAAGTGGAGATCTTTAGATACCTTGCACATCTGTCATTATTCACTTATTGTAGCTATAAAAGGCACATGGAAGGAAGCTAGTAATATATAGTAAACTCCAGAAGATTGCCTTGCATAATTCCATTTTTAGGTCAATACCGTAATCCTAGAAACACATGATCGGTGGCTTTTATATGTAGGCCTTTTCCCCTTGTTTCTAAGAAGAGATCACAACAACAAAATCTCAGGTATACCAAAAATGTAATAATTAGCATGACATGAAGATCACAATTAATTTTGTTAATTAGTATGGTCAAGATAAACTGCAATGTTTATTAGAACTGGACATAATTTAGAGAGGCTTACAGGTGCATTGGCACATACTTGTAGTTAAAACCTCTGCCCAGCCTGAAGTAAGAGAGGACATGACCATGGAGGCTGCAGAACATACAAACTGCAAGAGATAAGACCATTGTCCAACCTGAAGAAAGGGAGGACTTGACTGAGGAGGCTGCAGAACATATCAATTGCAGCATATAAGTATATAACTCATTAGAAAGATCATTACAATAGTTCTACGGTATATTTTCATTTATAAAAAGATAAATATGTACAGACAAAGGTAAAAAAAGTACAGGCCATCTAGCCAACTCCAGTTTTTTCCAACATAGTTAACATTATCTATGAGTTCTTATGAGAAAAGGGAATTCATCCATTGCTCAAGAGCGGCGATGTTCTTTTCTTTTGTTTGATTTGACCAGAGAAAGATCTTGATATAAACCTTGCTTCCAGGCATGAATTCCTGAGGGAACAACCTTGAAGATTTTCCCATTCCTTTGCATCCAAATGTTCCAACATCCCATAATCACAATGTCCATGGCAATCGGGGCTGGGAAGCATTGCTTGAGAGAAATGATATTATCAAAAGTAGAAACACCTCTGCATCTGCGTGGAGCAATAGAATCTCAGCAAGAGAGGGCAAAATGGCAATCCCAGAGGAGGTGTAGGGATGTTTCTTCAACATGATCTTGACAGATGGCACATTCATAACTCTGAAGCAAGAAATTTTTCCTTTTAAGCAGACTCCTGGAGCTAACTCTGTCATGAAGCAGCAACCAAAAGAAGATTTTGTGTCTGATCCTGCTGGCAGCTTTCCAAAGATCTTTAAACAGGAGATGAGTATCATGAGGTCCCAACAGATGTTTGTACATCTTGCTAACAGAGAAATTATTAGACACCGCATATATAACAACAGATCCCTCCTCTCACGGCGCTCCCGTGGGCGCCCCGAGGGGAACCCATCCCGGCCGCCGCCTCTCTCCTCCCTCCTCTGCCCACCTCCCTCGCCGCCGCCCGGTGGCGCCGCCGGGCGAAGCCAGGCCGGCCGGGGCGGCGGCGGGGCCTTCCTTTCCCCTCCGCCCATGGTCATGGCCGGCGCGGGACGGCTTCCCGAGCGGGGGCGCTAGCCTATGGCGGGGGCTAGCGGTGCGGCGGCGCTCCGTCGGGGTGGCCTGCCTTGGCGGCGACCTGGTGGGCGGCCGCGGCGCGGCGGCTGCGGCGGGTCAGATCGGGCGGTGGCGGGCCGGCACGCCTCCGGCTAGATCCGCGCGGATTTGGTCCCTGGCGGTAGCGGGCGTCGCGGGGTGGCGGTGCAGGTCCTCGTGGGCTCTGCATAGAGGTGGATTGCAGCGGCGTGGCTGCAACCACGTGGTCGGCCGGTCTGCGCGCAGCGGCGGCGGGACTGCTCTGGCGTCTGCTCGTCGGCGGCTTTCTCGGACGGCGACCCGTGTACGAGAGATGGAGGTCTTCGATCAGATCTGGGTGAAAACCTGCTATTGGCTATTGCCTAGGCCGGCGATGGCGACGCTGTCTGCATCGTTCCCTTCCTGAAGGCATCGTCGTGGAGAAGTTCAAGGCCACTCTCTGCTACCTCCGGGGGAAACCCTAGATCAGTAGATCGGATGACGGCGGCTCTCTGGTGTCGTTTCCCCCCTGGGGGCGTCATTCTTGGAGGTGCACACGGCTCGAGGGACTAGAGGACGGCGACTTTGGTGGAGCGGTGCTTCATCTTTCACATTGATGGTGGCGGATCTCAGCGGCATGGTGCTGTGGAGACTCGGCGTCTGATGCGCGGAGATGGACTCGTGCAGGAGGAGGAAGCTGTCTGGCGTCATGGTGACGTCGATGGCAGAGTGGCCAGACAAGGTAGAAGCCTCAATATGATCTGAAGACGGACCTGTGGAAGATGGCGGCGATGACACACGAGTGCGTCTGACCGGATTGTGCCCCAGACCCGGTATGTGGCTCGGCTGGGGCTTCCGAATGAGTTTCGGCTTCCGGCTTTTGATGTTAGGCTTAGGTGAGTGGTTTGGGTAGTGGCCCAGCTAGCACCCCCTAATCATTTTGGATAGGAGTAGCGGCATATGTTGCCAAGATGGTGGATTCAGACACATTGTTGTAACACTTTGTACGGTCCTCGAGAATAATCAATAAAGTGGCCGTATGCATCTCCCAGATGCAGAGGCCGGGGGTCATCCTCCTTTTCTAAAAAAAATATGCCAAGGAATCATTAGAATTTTCCAACTGGAGCAAAACTGGATTAATATCCTGTAGTTGCTGGAAGGCAATAACCAAGAGAGGAGTATGAAAGTGCTGCATAAGGTCTAAGGACTGCTTCACGGTGGCCACTGAGCTTTGGTCATCTATTGCAAAAGAATGCAGTTCTGGATATTTCTGAGCCAGGGGAACTTGGAGCCAGGTGTCCGTCCAAAACAGAGTAGAATCACCCTTTCCCACAGAAGAACTTGCCACTTCCTTGAAGAGAGGGACTAATTTCAAATGTGCTTTCCACCAAAAGATCCTTCCATTTTCCCTTGTGGTGGGTTGGTGGCGTAATAAGATTCCCAGATCAAATTAACCCAAGGTAAATTATGCTTGTTGAAGAACTTGTGTAGATTTTTATGCTTGGACGGACACCTGGCTCTAGAGTTTTCACATGGTTATTATGCTTGGAATCAGAAGTTACCTGGCCACATTGGGCAAAATTTCGTGTTTTGACCCTTTTTTGAAACCTATTCGAGATCTGACCCTAAGTTGATTTTTTTTCGAGATTTGACCCTTTTGCTATCGCCAGAGTCCATGGCGGTAGGGTCTAACAGCCTACCGCCAGGGACTTTGGCGGTAGGAAACATCTCTACCGCCAAACAGGCTGATGGTAGCCTGCACAACCCTACCGCCAAGGTGCTTGGCGGTAGGCACGAGCACACACTGTGTTCAATACTTAGGCGGGTTTTGACGGTATGGCATGCAACCCTACCGCTAGGGTCCTTGGCGCTAGGCTATTATACCCTACCGCCATGGTCCCTGGCGGTAGCAAAAGGGTCAGATCTCGAATTTTTTTCAAACAAGAGTCAGATCTCAAATAGGTTTGAAAAAAGGATCAAAACACGAAATTTAGCCGCCACAGTGTGAGTGTGACAACGGGAGGCATGCAGAGGGGCACAATGGCAGTAATTTTAGATTGGCTTAAAATGCACTTGTGTTACTTAAATTTGTAGCCTAATCTCACTTTGATCATTGTTCTAAAAAAATGATGATTTACAATTAAAAAAATAATAATGAAATGATGATTTATGGTCAACGGAGACGATTTCGGGGCCCATGTATTTGGCTTGCGTGGCATGTTTTGACCGGTCCATGCGCCTGCTCGCAAAGTGCACATCCAATTTATCACGTATCCTTTTCTATTTTTATTTTTCATCCTTTTTGTCTACATTTCATGACTCTTTAACATTTTATAAGTTTTTTTATTTATTTTCACTTACTTTTATATTGTTTTGTACTTACCATTTCCTTTTCTTTTTGACAAATACATGAACATTTTTGAAGAGATACATGAACAAATATTTTTCTTGTGGGGAAAACTTCTGATCTATTCATCTTCAATAATGGTAATACAATGAACACTAAAAATAATAAAAATTACACCCAAATTAGTAGACCACCTATCAATGACTACAAGCAAAAAATAGTTGACTACAAGCAAAAAATTCATCTCCCATCTAGAAGAATGGTTGCCGATGACACGTCGGATACACTGCAGATGGTCATCCCTGGCGAAGGGCATGACATGATGTATGAATCAAACCCTTCATTCTCCATGAGAACCAACATGCTGTAGCTCATGTATGTCGATGGTAAATCAGGAACTAATTGGACACCATCGAGGTATTGCATGACCTTTTGCACAGGAGGCCTCACATTGGGCGATGGGTGCGTGCACAACAAACCTAGTTTGAGCACAAGAGTGACCTCATCTGTGTTGAATTTATTCATGAGGCATGGATCCACCGTGTCAATGATTGAGCCATTGTGGTGGTGCTCAAGCACCCAATCGACTAACATCACCCTATTGTTATGCTGACCACTCTCAATGGGCCTGCGTCCACATACAACCTCTAGGAGAAACACGCCAAATGCAAATACATCGGTTGAAGGTGTTGCCTTTCCAGTGCGCACAAGTTCTGGTGCGAGGTATCCCATAGTGCCAACCACATGTGTTGTTTGAGCATCAGTGCCATGATCGTACAACCTTGCTAGGCCAAAATCGCCGAGCCTTCCATTCATCTGCTTATCCAAGAGCACATTGCTTGCCTTTATATCTCGGTGGATGACGACTTGTTCCCAATCCTCATGTAGATACAATAAACTTGATGCAACACCTTTGATGATCCAATATCTTTGAGGCCAATCCAAAGTTGCTCCATTGTTATTGTACAAGTATTTGTCAAGGCTACCATTTTCCATGTAGTCATACACCAAGAGAAGTTCACCGTTGCGCCGGCAATAGCCTAGTAACTGTGCTAGATTCCTGTGGCGGAGACGACCAATGGTCACCACTTCAGCAATGAACTCTCTTATACCTTGTCTTGAGTCATGTGATACTCTCTTCACCACGATTTCCAAATTGGATCCAGGAAGTACCCCTTTGTATACTTTGCCAAACCCTCCGGCACCGAGTAAATTTCCATTCTTAAATCCATCAGTGGCACGAAATAGATCTTTGTATGCGAACCGGTGTGGGCCGAACTCATCCTCCCAATCTTCGCGCACCTCAGCAAATCGACGCCGGCGCCACACAAAGAAGGAGGCGGCAGCTAGGACCGCGGCGATGATCAATACGGTGGCTAGTGGAAGCACGAGAGCCAAGATCATGGACCGATGCTTCGAAACCACACGCGGCAGTGCTGGAAGCTTAGAGAAATCAAGAGGCGGGGCAGGCCCGTCCAAGCTGAAGCTCCATCCAAGCACATAGTGGTGCGTCGACACCACGCCGGACGACGACGAGAAGCCAACATACATTGTGTCCGTGAGGACAGTGGAGAGATCAATGGCTTCAGAGAGGAGAGGATACCTCGGTCTGGGCTCCTGCGCAGGAGCCAATGTCACATTGAGTTGCCTGGCCTGGCCATCGTAGTCCACCCACACCTGCATCGGCTCGCGGCTGTTCAACATCAGGTCTCGAAAGGTGGCACCGTCATCGCCATAGTAGCCGGCCGGCTTGGCCTTCCGCGAAATGAGGCTGTTGACGTTGATGCCCACGTGGTTGCTGTTGATGTCGCGGAACTCTGGGTTCATGATGGTGTCGAGCTCGACTGCCAGCATGTGGTCGCTCGCGGCGCCGTTCGTCGCGTTGAGGAGGCCCAGATACTGCCCGGCGATCGCCGTTGAGAGGTTCGTGGTCGGGGCGACCACGAAGGCGAGCCCTTGGTCGCTCAGGCCGTCGTAGTTGGAGACGATGGCGAACACGAAGGACGTGGAGAAGGACCGCGCCACGGCAGTGGAGTTGGTCGCCCCGTTGACGTCGAGGAAGCGGAGAGGGGTGGGGTTGAAGGCATGGCCTTTCGTCTGGAGGGTGAAGTTGGTAAGTGCGAGCAGGCCGTTGGGCATGACGGCGGCGAGACCATCCAGCGTAAGGTTCGCCGCCGCGAAGCCCTGGAAGGCGAACTGGCCCTCGTCGGCGGACGAGCACGAGACCAACTCTCCGCCCATGCTCAACAGCAAGAGCAGAAGAAGAGCCGGCATGGTTTCTTGCCAGATTTAGTGCCGCTGGCCTGCTGCGCTTCCTTCAAGAGAAAGCAGCTCAATCGGTACAGTTTTTGGCGGGGTGGAGATTGGCCGTAGGGCTGAGCCGCACCGCACACCTTGGCTGAAGGTCATGGAGATAATGGCATGCCTGGCAGTATCAGAAGGAGCCGAGGTCGTAGTTGCCGTGAGTACTAGTCTACTACTCATTGATTTGTTCTCTTTGAATGAAAAAGGCTGCTACACATTTGTCTTGGTGTGTATGTAATACCTAGCTGACACGCGCCTGTGTAGACCGGAGAAAAATCTGCGAGGGTTCTTGTCAAAGATGGCTGCTTATGAAATTGCAAATGGTTGATATTGCGAGCTGGGGAAGCGCAGTGCCGTGCAGCGTGGTAGCGTCACCTGGTTGAAAAGGAGGATTGCTGACTATTCACCTTCAGCCGTTCACATGAAGAAACGAATATCTAAATTGTGGATGTCACCTAGACGGCTAAACCAGTTCAGTTTATTTTTTCAACAATCATAGCACATCAACCTTAAGTCCGTTTTCTGCAGTTTAATTTTATAGAAAAAACACACACGTCTAACTTTATAAACAAAGCCATAACAGCAACATCATCCAACAAACAAGTAGGTAGAAACCGATACAACAAGTTTCAGCCATAAGAGGCCACCACTAATGCGGTTAAGTCAAGCAAACGGTTTAAACCGACGCATTTTTAAACCGCCGCCTTACAAAGGTGTGCAATATGGGGGGTTCATCTCACACGATACATGATAACCGTGTGTGATAGGGCTTAAGAATGCAACCGTTTTGCAAAAAAACAATCATATGATATGCTCGAACCTGTCCAACACGCGGCTACTCTAATTTGTATGATTTGAATGGAACTAACTTGGGCTGACGATGTTTTCAGTAGAATTGCCATGGTGTTGTTTTTGTGCAGAAATAAAAATTCTCGAATTGAGCTAAAAATTTACAAAGATTATTTTAGAATACATAAAAAATATTGGCGAAGGAAATTACCAGAGGGGGGCCACCAGGGCGCCACAAGCCCAGGGGCGCGCTTGGCAGGCTTGTGGGCCCCTGGCAGCTCCCGCAACCCTAACTCCAACTCCATAAGTACCTATTCGCCAAGAAAACAAATCAAAGAGAAGGAATCATCACGTTTTAAGATACGGAGCCACCGCTACCTTCTGTTCTTCATCGGGAGGGCTGATCTGAAATCCGTTTTGGGCTCTAGAGAGAGGGATTCGACTCCTTCGTCATCATCAACCTTCCTCCATCACCAATTTCATGATGCTCACCATCGGAAGTGGGTAATTCCTTCGCAGGCTTGCTGGACGGTGATGGGTTGGATGAGATTTATCATGTAATTGAGTTAGATTTGTTAGGGTTTGATCCCTAGTATCTACTATGTTCTGAGATTGATGTTGCTGTAATTTTGCTATGCTTAATGCTTGTCACTAGGGCCCGAGTGCCATGATTTCAGATCTGAACCCTTTATGTTACCACAAATACATTTGTGTTCTTGATTCTATCTTGCAAGTTATACACACCTATTACGTGTTATGATTCGCATACCTCATGGTGACAATAATAGGGATTCTTTCTGGTGATTACCATAATTTGAGGAGTTCATGTATTCACTATGTGTTAATGCTTTGTTCTGGTTGAGGCCTTAATATCCCTTAGTTTTTTTATGGACCCCGCTGCCACAGGAGGGTAGGACAAAAGATGTCATGTAAGTTCTTATCACAAGCACATATGACTATATACGGAATACATGCCTACATTACATTGATGAATTGGAGCTAGTTATATGTCGCCCTAGGTTATAATTGTTACATGATGAATGTTATCCAACATAATTATCCATCACCGATCCAATGCCTACAATCTTTCACATATTGATCTTTGCTAAGTCACTACTATTGTTGGTATTGTCACAATTTGTTGAGTCACTTAGAATTTATATCTGTTGTTCACTATGAAGAATTTGAATGATAATAGAACAACGATCGTTCCCTCTAGGACGATGGGTGGTAAGGAATTGTTATCTAGCTCTGCACTTGATTCGTCTCCTGTTTTGAGTAAGCTTGCACCACCACCACCTGCTATTAAGTTAATTACTTTGGTTTAATTTGATAATTTCCATGGTTATGAAACCGAAACCGTTGTAGCACATCTTACTAAACTGGATGATATAGCCACCTTATTTGCTCACGAGGAAAAACACACTACTACTATATTCTTATGTTGTTTCCTTTCTCGTTAAAGGGTGATGCTAAGATATGGTTTAATACTCTTGCTCCTGATTGTGTGTGTAGTCCACATGATATGATATATTACTTATCTGAAAAATATTTTCTTGCTCATAAGAAACAAGTTGCCTTACAGAAAATATTTAACTTTGTGCAATTTGAAGAAGAGAATCTCCCTTAAGCTTTGGGGAGGCTTCTCCAGTTAGTTAATGCTTTCACGATCATCCTCTCAAGAAAAATGTAATTCTTGATATCTTTTATAATGAACAAATCGATGCTTCTAGGGATTACCTAGATAGTTGTGCTGGTTGTGTTTTCAGGGAACTGTTGAACAAGTTGAAGGTCTATTGAATAATAAATTGCGCAATGATAATGATTGGACACTTCCTAAACCACCACCTAAACCAACTCCGAAGAAGAGGGGTATTCTATTTCTCAGTCCTAAAGATATGCAAGAGGCAAAGAAATCTATGAAAGAAAAAGGTATTAGAGCCGAAGATGTTAAGAATTTACCACCAATTTAAAAAATACATGGACTTGACACCCCGACACACGTAGTAGAGGTAATTTTTTTATATAAAATTGGATGAAGGTGATATTCCTTATAATAAATCTCCTAGTCAACGCTTGTATGAATTTGATAACTACATTATCAAGCAAGATCACTTTAATGCTTATGTTAAGAAACAATTGAAACATAATGCCTATACAATTGATCGCTTGAGTGACTTGTTGTTTAGAATTGAAATGATGTTAAAGGTGTAGGAAAACATGCTTCTATGGTCCATACTTAGTTAGAACAAGTAGCTAAGTCATAAAAGGATTTGCTTAATGAAATGAATAGTAATATGAATGATCATGCTGTTAGATCAATGACTAGAGGAGGTAGAATGACTTAGGAGCCACTATATCCTGAAGGTCACCCTAAAAGAATTGAACAAAACTCTCAAATAATTAATAATGATGCACCTAGTTCTTCTAAGAAGAAAAAGAAAAAGAAAAATGATAGGACTTTGCATGCTCCTAGTGAACCTGAGGTAGAAAAACCTTCTGAGAACAGTAATGATGTTTTTATTTGTGATGCTGAAACACAATCTGGTAATGAACATTCACTTAGTGATAATGATAATGATAATGATGATATTCATGTAGATGCTCTGTGACACCCCGATAGTTAAGCTACAGTAAACCCCTGTTAATGATGCTAGGTCATCGTAATTAAAATTTTGCTAAACCTCACTCGTTTCAAAATTAGTTCAAATACAAATTCAAATAACAAGTCAAAGTATAGTTTCATAAAATAGTGAATTAAAAATGTTTATTAGGTTGCAAATATTCACTAAGGAATTACCATGTAGAAACCAACATCATTTGAATCACAGATAAAACCCTAGGAAATTAATAAGTGCTCCAACAGTAAATAAAATGGCCTTTGCAAAATTATTAGTTATTTATTTAACTCCAATTGCCTCCAAACTTTATGTGCCACTCCAAAATATTGTGCTTGAATTATGTGCCAAATTTCATGTTTAACTAAATTCATTTGCATTGGCTAATAAAAAGAAAACAATAGTTAAAATAAAACAAAATAAAAAAGGAAAAGAAGAAAGAAGCTACGTGCTGCTGGGACTCTAGTGCATAGTGTGCAGGCCCAGCCCAGAACGAGGTCGTCGTCCTCCCTGTTCATCCCCTGCGCGGTGGACACCGCGCGCGCATCCATGCCGCGGATGAGCCACGCGGAGCTCATCTGGTGCTTCTTCGACGTCTACAAGCCCCCTAGATGCCGATGAAAACCCTAGCTTGAACCCTCACTCTCTCCCTCGCCCGCTCCCTCTCAAATCTCGCTTGCCCGAACGCACCAGTCGTCGCGCCTCGTCGTTGGCGTGGCCACCGGCCACCTTCCGCCGTTCCAAGCTGTCCTCGGGACCGCCGCTGCCGACCACGACGCCTGGTCTTGCTGGATGGCACCGGGACGCCACATCGACGCCGCCCTCGCTGATCCCCTTCCCCGAGCTCCGCCTCTACATCGCCGTCGATCCGCGCCACCGCGACCTCCCCGCCCTCCCCGAGCTGCTCCTCGACCCCCATTGTGAGCCGCCGCGCCTTTGCGCTCCTCTCCCCCCTCCTAACCGCCCCTAGATGCCCAAGCCACCATAGCCGAACCTCACCACCGTCGCTTGCCTCGCCGTTGTGGCCACTGGCCTCTGAGCTCGCGCCTGAGCAGTGCCTCGAGCTTCCGGGCCTCACCGGAGCTCAATGCGACCCCCAGCTCCCCTCCTAGTGCCCCTAGCCCCGGGTCTGAGTTCGCCCGACTCCGGTCGCCGCTGACGTCGAAGCCCCGCTCAACTCTGGCCACCGCGGCCTGCGAAACCACCACCAACCGACGCGTCGTTGTCTTGTCATTCTAACGCGCCCAACCACGATCAAAATAATGCCCTGTGGGCGTTTTCCGACGATGCCCAAGGACGCGCCGCGACGAACGAGCTTGCCGGCGTGATTACGACAAGTCGCAGGCCGTCGCTGAGCTGGCCTGACGCGTGGGTCCCCCTGTGTCACTAACGGGTGGGCCCAGTTGACCCATTGACCCAGTCAGCCGCAGACATGCCAACCCCATGTCACTGACATGTGGGCCCTGCCTGATTAAACGATTTTAGTTAAATAGAAAATATGTTAATCAATTAATCAATTAATTAATTAAG